GTTTATATTCTGTATAAAGGATGTACACCACAACATATTGTCACTGGTTGCATTGGATACTAAAGGAAGTTCTGTGGAAGTTATTCCATTACTCAGTGACTTAACTTTGAATCGCTTCTCTTTTTGGAAGAGAGAACTTGTTCTAACTCATCACACAATGAACTAACATAGATAAAAGTTAGTTCATCACATCCTTAACACAAGGGCACTACGCTTGTGGGTTTACACAGAACTTTTACATTTACTGTTTTATTTAATTTTCATGATGCTCTAAGAGGGAGATGCTAATGCTTTATAGATGTGGAAGTTAAGCCTCAGAAAAAGTTAGATTTGCTGAAAGTTGCACAAATAGAAAGTGTACAATTTGAACCTAGCTAGTTTAATTCTGGAATTCCTGGGTGGTGCAAAAGTTTAAACACTGAACTACTAACCAAAGGCTAATGGTTCAAACCTATCCAGAGTCACCTCAGAAGACAAGTCAGAAGATCTGCTTCCCAAAGTTCTCAGGCTTGAAAACTATGGAGTAGCTCTATTCTGCATACACGGAATTGTCATGAGTCAGAATCAACTTGACAGTAACTAACAACAGTCTAATTTCAAGTCCGAAGTTCTTTTCCCTTCACACAACTGACCCCAACAATTATTCTGTTATCTGAATCAGGGCTGCATAGAGTTTCATCCTGATTTTGAGAGTCCAATAATGCAGAAGTATTTTGCTTCGTTGTTGTTTTTAAGTGACGTCAAGTCAGTTCAGACTCTTAGTGACACTGTAGGGTTTCTGAGGAGCCGCTGGTGAGTTTGAATCTCTTACCTTGCAGTTCAAACCAAACTCAACAGTCCAGTGCTGATCCTACAGTGGCACTTTGGCTAATATGAATTATGCTCCTGGTGTGGCGCTGTAGGATCTACACTGAGCTATGAATCATAAGGTTGGCAATTCAAACCTACCAGTTGCTCCCTTGGAAACCTTGAGTTGGAATCAACTCAATGGCACTTTACAACAACAACAATATAAATGAGATTAGTCATATAATTCACTAGACACACTTCTGTACATGGTTGCTATTGTTAAGTATCATCAAGTCTGTTCCTACTCAAAATGACCCTGTATGCAGTTTCCAAGGGGCAACTGTTGAATTTGAACCAGGGCCTTGTGATTAGCCATCCAGTGCTTATCATACAGTGCCATATCAGCACTCTACATATTTAGCTCATGCCATCTCTCAGGAGTCTTGCTGTGGCATTGTAGGATAAGCACTGAACCACAAGGTCAGTTTGAACCCTAAGGTCAGCAGTTCAAACTAGCTGCTCCTCAGAAACCTTATACAGGATCACTATGAATTGGAATCTACTCAACATCTCTTATAGATTCCTGGTATGGTGTTGTAGGATAAGCACTGGACTTTAAACCATCACAAAATTGGCAGTTCAATCCCACAAGCTGTTCTTTGGAAACCCTATACAGGGTCACTATGAGTCAGAACCAACTCGACAGCACTTAAAAACAATAACAATGCCTATCCTGACTGGGTGGATACATTTTTTTTTTTAAACTCAAGTGATAAAAAGACTATATATAGTTAGTTTAACTCTTCAGGGCAAAAAACCATACCTGAGCTATAGAAATACAATTTCCCATTTCCTTGTAGCTAGTTCTAATATGGATCAACTTGTAGTGGTCAGACAAACTGTTGCCTAGGGGATTGTATCAAAGCACCAGTAAGATCCTTCATTGTCTTGACTAGGCTACCAGAGCTCCTTTTAAAACACAAAGAGCCCCATAAATTCACACTGAAATGTAAATGACTGATAGCTTATCTTTTCCCAAGAGCAGATGTTCAAATGGGAGAGGTCTGAGAGAACCCTGGATCCCAGGCCACAGAAGAATTTGCAACAAAAAGTTACCATGGAGGGTTGGTGGTCAGGTGTGGAGAAAATACTTAGAAACAGTTGTTTGAGGCCTTGGAAACAAGTGGGGGTTTCTCAGCTGGCTTGGGACTGGACCAGTTGTCAGGGACCCAGACCCAATAATTTCACTTCTTAACATCACATTTACACAAATGCCAGAAAACTGGGTTTTCCCAAGTTTGGGCTTTTTGAATAACCCAACTACAATTTTTTTTTTTTTTTTTTTTTTTTTTTAATGTAGGGTATCCGTTGTAATGGATGTGATGGCTCAGTGATAGTATTTGTTCTGTTTTTCTTCCTTTCTTTCTTTAAGTTTTTATTGTGAATCATATGATAGTTTACATGGGACAACATTAGCTTTACATTGATTCTATCTTATCTTGTTTCATTGTAATGATTACAGTTCCCTGAATGCATCATCAAATAGCCAAATGGCACACCCCACAAGCCTGCCTCCTGGCCATCAACAAGCAGCCCCTCTCCCTCCCAGAGTCCAGAGTTCCCAGCCACTCCCTCTCTCCACGTCATCTTTTCTACCTCCATCTCTGGCATAGCTGCTTCTCTGGATAGGGTCCCGCACTCCACTCTTCTCCCTTGATGGTCCTAGGGACTTCCACTCCTGGACTGCAAGATCAGCCACTCCCCTCCTTTTGTTACAAAATAAATGTCTACCTTTACATTTGCAACACTCACAATCAGTCCTGATAGCAATTATTCACTATTGACCCACGTGAGTCTTATCTCCATCTCCTATCACCAGCCCCATCCAAACAGGTTGGAAACCTCTCAGTGAAGATTCCACCTTCCCCGTACCCTCTGAAATTGGGCTCCCTCCTGAAAGCTTGTAAGCCAGTCTCAGTGGTAAGATTCTTGGCTTCCATGCAAAAGACTAGGGTTGTATTTCTGGCCAATGTACTCAAGTGCATCCATCACCAACTAGTCAGTTAAGGCTTGTGTTGTGCTATGATGCTGAACGGGTTTCAACAAATCTTCCAGATTAAGATAGAATAGGTACAAAAGGTCTGGTAATCTGTTTCTGAAAATCAGCCAATGAAAACTCTATGGATAATAACGTCTGATTTGTAATCAGTCATGGGGAGAGCCAGGCAGCATTCCATTCCATCATGCATGGGATCAGATGTTAAAGCCTTCCTGTTCAGAAAAAGGGGTATTTTCACTAAAAACTCAGTGTGAAGGAAGTCCCATCATGACAAAGTCATGTGCCCAGAGAGAGGGAACATGATCGTGACATCATAGCAGCCCCCACCATTGCTCCTGCCTCTGGACTCCTATAATATTTTATCTGAACCTCTACTCCTGGCACTTGCCCCTTTAAGGCTGATGTCATCATTGCTCATGTAACTTATCCTCAATAATCTAATACCTGACATATGATCAGGTATGCAGAAGAGAATATTTGTTGAGTGAATTCAGTAATCTACATTACTACATCAAGTAAACTTGACTCTCCTTTCTAGATATATTCTAGCCCCACACATTACTATGGATTGTTTGTAAAGCTTTTTAGATTGCTTATAAAACTGAATTAATTGTCTTTGTATCTCAACCAAAGACACTATTTATTCACATATGAACACATGCATACATGTTGACATGTACATTTATACACATGAATGCTTTTGCATCACATGTACATACATGTACATGAAGGCTGTATATGATAACATGAACTACCAGAAGAGTCAGAAGAAGTGAGAACAGGGGACCCAAGAGCCCCTGACCACTACAGTCCCCCATGTAGTCACACTGTTGGAAAATTACCTCTCAACGTCTTATGCCTTTGAGAATTTATCAGAGAGTTCATTCTACCCATTAGTGCAGGCCTTGAGCTATGGCTCCATTATGGACATGTGATAAGCAATGAACTGCGTACCACAATGTCCGAATTTTGAGCCTGCCTGCCTTCTGTGGGAGAAAGATGAGGCTTTCTGCTCTCTCAAAGAATTAAAGCCTCAGAAACCTTATACACGGTTGTTATGAGCCACCTCAAAGGCACTTAACAACAACAGGGGCCTAAAGGGGAGATGAGGCAGAACCCGATATAGCAGAACCCAGGTCAGCCTCTCTAAACACACTGCCTGGCCTTGAAATGAATCCCAACACCTCACAAACTAAGCATGTGATTTGGACAAATCATCTAACCTCTCTGGACTTCATATCATCTATAAAATGAGATGAGAATATTAGCTACATGGAGCTGGTGTGGCGTTGTAGGATAAGCACTCAACCGTAAGGTCAGTTTGGATCATAAGGTTGTCAATTCAAACTCACCAGCAGCTCCTTGAAAACTATATGGGGGCTCTGTGGATCAGAACTGACTCGACAGCACTTAACAACAACAATAACATCTACCTCCCAGGGCAGTGTGAGGAGGAACTAAATACATGTTTACCATGTCAGTCTAGTACATAACAAATTACCAGCAAATGCTTATTATCCTCATCAGCTATTGCTCTTTTTGTCTTTCCTGTGAAACATCCGGTTTACAGATTGAGGCTGAAGCCACATCCTCCAGAAGCTGATCCCAGATTCTGACATGAACCTCACTTTGTGATAACCCACCCAGTCCTACGGTTTCTTCAATTAAAGTGAGGATAGGCAAGTACAAGGATTCTCCAGTTGGGCTCCTTAGTTTTAAGATGCCTATCATTGACCTAACAATAGTCCCCTGCATAAATTCATACAGCCTCAGTGTCTTACATAACCAGACAACTGTTGTTTCTCCATGCAACTTCCGATTGTGTATTCTTTTTCTTTGATCAGATGATTTTATCAAAGAACATATCTAAATAAAAATCCCCAGAGCAAAGTGTAACTCTTTTTTGCTTTTTGCCACTGAAAGTCTCCCCCATTTTGGGATACTAAATCACATCATAAAATTGCAAAATGGTCAGGGTACAAATGCCCTATGTTGCTTCATATTCCTGATGCAGCAATTGTTAAGATGTGGCTTTATAAGGTACCAAAAAGAACAGGGAGTGACCTATAATGCTGTAAGCCTCCCACCAAAGGAAGACTGTGCACAGGAGCAGAAAAGCAGATCAGGAGAGGCAGAGTTAGAAGGACAGGCCATGGTAAACCTGAAGACTCTCCCACTGCTGCTCTTGCTCCACACGCAGCTCTCCAAGGCCCTCCCTGTACCTGCTGAACCACCTGAAGAGAAAAAAACAATAGTTGTTAAGGTGAACTAATTTTCAATTAACTCCTGGGGTGAGGATAGATTTGATGAGTCTTAGGATACTGGGTGGGTTGTTTTCTTAGTTAAAACGGTCTGAAATAAATTATCTGGGCGATTTGTTTGAGGCTGAACAACTTCGTTCAGTGATTTGGAGAGTTCCAAACTGTCAAGGGTTGGGCCCTCCAGACATGAACATATGCTGGCTCTTCAAAGGCTGGAAAAATACTGCTGCCAAACTGCTTCCATTATTTAGAAGGAACGGCTTTAATTATTAAACTACATTATTTTCTTTCTTTCTCAGTTACCTAAGATTTTTCCTTCCATTATATTGGCATTGGAGTTATTAACATGACTGCTGCTTCCTATATAGATAGTTCTTTGCAGCCAAAAAATCCTGAGTGTTAAAGGTGAGAGATGAGAGCAAAGCAAGAATCGTTCATAGTGATTTAACAGGCACCAGATTATTGAGCTGTTTGTAAACTCTAGGGAGCACTATAAAAGAAGAGCCAAGAGCGTTCTTCTGTTGTTGTACAGTATGAATGCTGGCACATTTTTTAAGAAGCAAGGGGGGAATACTGTTATATATTTGCATGTGCAATTTTCTAAGCCTTGCACTTTTAGACAGACATTTTTTTGTTGCTAATTTTTTGGTATTTCTTACACTGATAACTGTAACCTCTGGACTAACAGCTAGATTTATTAAGTTAATTCATTGAGTACTCACAAAGCAATCTGTTAAGTGTTACACACACAATATCTTATGCATTGTAACCCTGTGAGGTGGATATTATTATTTCTATTTTAGAGATGAGACCTGTGACTCTTAAATCAGTTAACTGACATGTCCAAGGTCTCACAGTTAATTGGTGACTCCAGTGCAGTGAATTATCTAAAAGCTCTTCTCACCACAGTCTTTGTAAACTCCCATCAAACGACTTTTTTCTGATGAGTCTGAGTAAGAAAAGATAAGGGAAGATGCTGATTTATTTGAGGGTGATTTTTAACAGGACTAATTGTGATTGGTCCATTTTGCCATCATCCTGGGTATAAAATGAGCCATCTCAAAAGCAAAGGGGGAATTTCAATACCATCAAAGATGATAGCTTCCCTAGGAAGCATGTTCTTTGGACCCTGAGATCCCTGTGCATTGAACCTCTTCAACCCAGAAGACAGAGCTGTGGCATTAGAAGAGCAACAGCAGCAGAACGAAAAGCCCGAGCATGCAATGGGTAGATTTCCTGATCCACAGAGAATGTAAAGCCTTTAAACAGAGGCTCATGGACTGGAGGGTCTCCAGGCACTTAATTGGGGAGCTAAGTTTGCTGAACCATGGAGCTAGAGCTGAGTACTTTGGGGCTGAGGCATTTATCAGCAGTACTAAAAGAACTTTGTAATATTGCCTGAGCAGGACAGACGATAGATGAAGGGGCCAAGGGCCAGAGAGAGGCCTGTCTGTGGATATGGTCGAGAAGAGGCTATCCTTACCAAATACATATATCCTAAGCATTTTTCTGATCCTATTGTAACCTGTTAATTTCCCTAATAAGCCACATAACTTTGAGTATGGTGTCTGACTTTTGTGTGGCCATTGCAACGAATGATCAAACCCAGATGAAAAGTAGAGGGTGCTGGGAGAGGGATAGTTGGCACCATTGTGTACAGTGGCTCAGCCAAGATGTGAACCCAAACCTGTCTAATTCCAAGCCTACTTTCTGTCTTGTATCATTTACAGAAGACCAGGTTTTCAAAGCAAAGATGATTGGTTGCCTTGTAAACATTCTTGAGAACCCTGAGTTCCAAATGCACGTTACCTCTTTATAAAGAGTTACTTTGCTCATGCTGCTATTCCCCTAAAATTTATTTGAAGTTCCTCTTTTGAAATTGCAAATTCTCATTTGAGATGCAGCTTGGAGAGTCGGGACCTGAATTGCAGTCTTACCAATTTTCTTTCCTCTCTGAGCCTTTAATTCTTCATGAAGATTATTAAATCTATCTTGTAGTAATTCTTGGAATCCCTGAGTAGTCCAAATAGTTAATGCCGTTGGCTGCAAACTGAAAAGTTAGAGGCCTGAATCCACCTTGAGACACCTCAGAAGACAAGTCTGGCATTCTACTTCTGAAAGATAACAACCATTGCAAACCCTATGGAGCATAGTTCTACTTTAATGCACATGGGATTGCCCTCAGTCAAAATTGACTCAACAGTGACTAGTTTATTGGGGTTTTTTTTGTTGTTAATAGTGTTTGAAGATTAAAAAAGATAATCTACATGCTACAACTAATATTTCAAAACCGACATACAGTGAGTCAATTTCAACTCATAGCAACCTTCTATATAGGGAGAGGAGAACTACTCCTTAGGGTTTCTGAGACGGTCAGTCTTTATAGGAGCTGACAGCTTCATCTTTCTCCCAAGGAGGCACTGGTGGGTTTGAATCCTCCATCTTGCAGTTGGCTGCCCAATGCCTAATCTACAGCAACACCAGGACTCCAATCCTTCAAAATATATATAAATAAATAAAAATATTAGTTCTAATTTTTCTGTTTATAAAAGTATAGTAATGAGTACAATCTCATTACTATATAGTGGCATTTTGTATGTAGCAATTGGCTCCTCATAAAATAGGAGTCGCCTATTTTATGTATAAGTATTAACTACAGTACTGAAAAAGGAGCTCTGGTAACATAGTGGTTATGAGTCAGGCTGCTAATCTCAAGGTCAGCAGTTTGAAACCACCAGCTGTTCTGCTGGAGAAAGATGAGTCTTTCTGCTCCCGTAAAGATTTATAGCCTTGGAAACCCTGTACAGGGTCGCTATGAGTAGGAATTGATTCTAAGGCACATAACCTTGGAATCCACTGAATTCCAGTCAGTACTTGGCACAGTACTGAATGGAAGAGCAATTCTTCCTAACAGATACTATTATCTCAAAGTTTACCTACAAATTTATGGGTTTGTTTCTGTAGCTATGTCAGATTATGAGTCATTTTTGATTCGTGGAGTAATTTAGAAAAGAATGTAAAATATTTAGGGAACCAAAAGTAATGCCATAGCAAGTACCTTTTATGTATTTGTCTTTGTCCAGAATTATCTAGAAAAATTCTACCAATTGCCCAAGAGTCAACATCAGTTTGAAAGGAAGAACAGCGCCAGCATGATTGTGGAAAAACTTAAAGAAATGCAGCAGTTCTTTGGATTGAATGTGACAGGGAAGCCAGATGCTGCAACCCTGGAGGTGATGGAAAAGGCTCGCTGTGGAGTGCCTGATACTGGGGATTTTATGTTAACCCCAGGAAACCCGAAGTGGGAACACACAAACCTAACCTACAGGTAACATTTCTTGAGTTTCAGAATTCACTCATGCAGCCAGTATGCACTGAGCTTCTAGGATGTGCCAGACACTGTTCTAGGATTTGGGACCAATAGAAAAACATCCCTGCCTTTATGGAATTTCGTTACTAATGAGTAATACTGGTGAATTGTTTTATGGACTTCAAGTCTGGAGTGAATGAATATGGGAATGAAAAAGTAGGTATTCAATGAATTATTTTCAACTTCACAGCTTGCCGTTTTTGTCTTCCTTCACCAATAATCCAAAGAGAACCATATTGAAATGAGGTTGTGGCTGTAAATATTCACTTCAGGATCCCCAAAAAAGATTTGTTTCTGAAAGGAATCTAGTTCAGGGTTGTTGATATATCCTGATGATAGTTAGAATGGTTAATTTTATGCATCAGCTGACTAGGTGGTGGTTCCCAGTTGTTTTGCTAAACACTAGTCTAGTTCCTGTCATGGAGTAGTTCCCATGTGGTAAATGAGTAAGGCAGTTTACCTTCTATAATGTAATGTAACATAATGTCATATCATGTCATGTAAAGGAATATAATGTAATGTAGTTCAGTCATGTCCCATAATGTAATCTACTATGATGTAATCTACTAATCTGTTGAAAAGGAGTTTCTCTAAAGTGTATTCTGTCTCTAAACTATCAATCAATATTTTGGCTGAACTCTTACTTCACTCTTCATTCTACAGTCTTTTGTTACCTGACCTATGGACTTTCCAATCTTTTTAAAAATAGTATTGTTTTCCAGGTAATGTTTTACCTTCAATCTACATAGAACTCCTATGAGATGCGTACTATTTTAGTATCTTCATTTTATGAACAAGGAAACTGAGGTCTAAAGACATAAAATAACTTGTCCAAAATGCTGGTCTGAAAAAGGTCAAAACTCAGACATGATCCATATTCATTCCCAACCCAGAATTCTGAACCTCTTTCTTATGTTTTCCCCAGTTAAAGCACATCATGTATGCAATTCACTCTAAGATCAATCTATCATCTGTTGATAGCCTGTTCTTCTAGACAATACTGAACTCTTCACACATCTTCTCACTTTTAAGGATTAGAAATTATCCCTCAAATTTTGCAAAGACTGATGTGGAAACCGCTATTATGAAAGCCTTTCAAATCTGGAGTAATGTATCACCCCTGAACTTCAGCAAGACCTCAGAGAGGAAAGCAGACATCGAGATTGATTTTGTCATAAGAGGTAGACTTAAAGTAATCATGCTTAATTTTGCATTTCATGACTAACCTGATACTCAGCAAAGATCTATGTGAACTGTTTTCTTTCAGATCATGGTGATAATTCTCCATTTGATGGACCAAATGGGATCCTTGCTCATGCCTTTCAACCAGGCCAAGGTATTGGAGGAGATGCTCATTTTGATGCAGAAGAAACATGGACCAAAACCTCACAAAGTAAGTTAACCAAGACTATATTCACATATAAGTCTTGAATGTTTTTTTGTTTTGTTTTGTTTTGTTTTAACATTTCCAAGTCAACCAAGTGATCATTTAAATTTTTGCTGTTTTAGGATATTCAGTTAATTTAGCTTAAAAAGTACTGACCTTATCTCTAGAACAGGATCAGAAACTATAGACTAGGGTCAAATCTAACCTGGGCCCCTGCTTTTATAGATCATATTTTATTGGAGAAGGTGCACACTCACTTATTTGTATATTGTCCATGATTGCTTTCCATCTACAATGACAGACTTAAGTAGTTGTGGCAAAGACCACACAGCCCATAAAACCTAAAATAGTTTCTATCTGTAGCTTTACAGAAAAAGTTTGCTGACCTCCATTTTAAAGTATATCTTTCTTTCAATATTTTGAAATTTAATGGTGTTTAGAAAAGGCCTCTATTTTTTTGAAGTCCAAAAATAACTAGGTGTATTTATAAAAATTGTCCTATTTTAGGAAAGAGCAGTTACCTGATTGTCCATCTAGCTACTGCATTTTCACAACACTCCTTTATAATGGTATGTTCAAGAAAAAATCCTTAAGAAGAAAGGATGAGTGTCTGCAATGAAGAAAATGGCTAAGGACCAGTTTATCTGTGTCATGTGGCACTTTACAAGGCCAACAATACACCTTTAAGACACCTTCTATATTTAGTTGGCACCTCTTGCCATTTTCTCAACATATACATTCATTTTCACCTAAATCCCTGAGCTAGGAGCTGTGTGTACTCAAAGACACATATCAACACTCTACTGCTTTGTAACCCTATTGCCCTCCCCACTAGTTCAGATGTCCAGACCCAAACTAAATAATCAGGTTCCTAACTAAGCTTTCCATCTCCAACCTCTGCTCTCTCTAATTTTCCTAGCTGCAGTGAGACTTGTCATTTGAAAGCCCACCTGGGAACATACTCTTTCTTGTTTAAAAGTTTCAATCTTTAAATATTCTATACCAAATAAATTCCAAATATCTTCACTTGGCATTCAAAGCTCTTGGTGAATGTCTGCCCTAATTTTTCTTGGTTTGTCTTTATATTCCATATGTCACAGTCAATATTGCTTTATTTTCTGTAACTAGGTCATATATTGTACTTTCCAACCTTTCCAAGTTTGTTCACATTGCTTCTACCTCCTGAAATACCTTTCTTCATACACCAGGCCCACCTTTCACATATTCTCTCATCATTCCATGTTATGTCAAATGCAACCTCTTGTCTTTCAGCTGGAAATGAGTTCTTTCTCCTCAGAATCACAACAGTCCTTTTCTTCTGCCTCCCTAATTGCTTTCTCCTAGTTATGCTGTGCATTCAAGTTACTTGTACATATAATAAATATCCTCTTCTAGACTATACAACCCCAGAAAGCAGAGAACTATGAAAAATCCCCAATGCCCTGTCACAAAGTAGTCCATGCACTCAAAGATGATTGTTGTTGTTGTTTGGAATGCATGCATGGATGTAGAAATGAAAGAATGTGATGATCAAGGCAGCAAGTCTTGAATTAGGGGTAAAATTTTTCTAGTGCAATTATCAACAGGAAATTAACATTGTGGTAAGAGCATGGGTTTTGAAGCTGGGTTGGACCCTAGGTTTAACACTTACCCATTTTAAGACAAAGAATAAGATACTCAAAATCCAATGGCCTCAGTTCCTTTGTTGTAAAATATTTTTAATGATACCTCTTTAACAAAAACACTGTGAAGATTACATAGCATTGCATATGGATATTATCTTCCATTTAGTAAGCATTCTACAACTATGAATATTAATGGTCAAGGTCATGTAGAAAAATGCAGGGTGTTTGTGAAAAATCTAAAATGAAGAATTCACATCATTGAATCAAGGAAGTCAAGCCCTTCAATGTTTCTTGGATCCAAGTGAGTGAGGCATGGGAGGTGTATCATGAAAGACACTTTGTTGTTGTTGGTGGTGTTAGTAAGTGCTGTTGAGCTAATTCTGTCTCATAGTGACTCTGTATAGTATTTCCAAGGAATGACTGTATATTATATTGAGCTACATCCTTGTGATAAGGAGTCCACTGCTTATCCAATGTCACCACACCAGGACTCCAAGAAAGATGCTAAGGAGACATAAAAAGATGGGTAATAGAGTGATAAGGGATTTCTCTCTTTCCAAAGCAGCCTTCCTAGAACTGCTGATTGGAGAACTCAGGAATAGGGAAGAGCCAGTGTTATGCTATAAGTGATTAGGATGACAACATGAGTTGGTCCTGCATCCAAAAATCTGCCTGGTGCTTATTCACTGAGAGAAGTAGCACAAGAGGAGTGAAATTTAGAGAGTCATGCATGAGACCTGTGATGACTTTGCCTCTGGCAAGTCATGTGATCACCATTTCTCCAAACTTCAGGTCCAAATCCAAAAAATGTTCAAGAGGGAATACTTGCAGTTTTTCTTGGATCCAGGATTTGATGAGAAGTTCATACTCACCAAATTCCAACCTATGACTTTTAGCTGGATTCCTTCCAATCTCCAGTATGTTCATGTACCTGAGGGGAATGTGAAAACAGATGGAGTGGGGGTTGGGGGGACTGTTCCTCCAGGCCTTTTGGGCTTAGGAGTTACTTTCTTTGAGATTGTATTTCCACTAGTCTCCACACATGCTTGCATTTCAGATTACAACTTGTTTCTTGTTGCTGCTCATGAATTTGGTCATTCATTGGGGCTCTCTCATTCATCTGATGCTGGTGCCTTGATGTATCCCACCTATGCTTTCACAGACCCCAGCACATACCTGCTCCATCAAGATGACATCAATGGAATCCAGGCCATCTATGGTAAGGTCACCTAAAGAATGCTGAATGCTCACGGGGATCTCAATGAGGCCCCAACAAGCTCAGGATCTGGGCGACTCTTCCTTTGCACTTCACTCACATTCTCTCCTCTAGGAAAGCTTAAACTGCCCTCTGAAGGCGACTTGCATCTAATATTGTATTAACAAAGAAGGCCTGGGGCCCATGGGGAGCTGAGCCTGTATTGCCTCCTTAAGAAAAAGAATAGGAAGAAATGCACCATAACCATCCCTTTAAAAAGGTGGTGATTTTTCCCCCCTCCTCCTCCTTACTCTCTAATTTTTATAGATTTTGTAAAAAACATAACTGTCTCTTTTGATACAGCAATCCTTCTCCTCAATATATTTCCCTCTCCAAAATATCACGTACACCCATAAGGGTACAGGTACAAGGTATGCCAAGGATGTCACTGTAGTCTTGTTTGTGGTGGTGTTGGGAGTTGGAGGAAAGTGTGTCATGAGGAGAAAGTGAAGGTAAAATGTCCCGGTGCACACCATGGAGTACAGTACAGCAGTCAGATGCACTGAATTTGATGTACATAGGACAACAAAGTTGATATTTAAAACTTGGTGCATAGTGAAGAAGAAATAGAGTGATATGTATTACACAATATATAAATTATATCATATAACATTGATCTGTATAAATTAAAAATACATATAGAGAAAGCAAAGCAATTTCAAGAATACATATGAACAAAACTATATGTATTCAACATATTAAAATTGTGATGGTGGAGACAGGAGGGAATTGAAATAGAAAATAGGGAGGAAAAGGAACATTTTATTTTTTTAAATGTCTGACGGATACTTCTCAGGAGGGTCATAGAAACGTTTTGTCTTGTCCTAGGAAGTATTGCGTAGGTAAATTCATTGTATCTTCACCTCTCTCTTGTCCTCCTGCTCTCTAGTAGTTGTGAGGGAGAATACGAAGCCAGGGTATTCATTTTTCTGTTTGTTTAGGTGCTGTTGACTAGATCTGTGACTCGTGGTGATTCTGTGTGACAGAGTAGAACTTCCTTCATAGACTTTTCTAGGCTGTTTTCTTTACAGGAGGAGCGCCGGGTCTTTCTCTCATTGATTCCACTGAATGGGTTCAAACTGCTAATCTTTTAGTTTGTTGTTGTTAAATACCATCAAGTTGGTCCCAACTCATAGCAATCCTATATAGAGTTTCCGAGGAGCAACTGGTAGATTTGAACTGCCAATCTTGCGGTCAGCAGTTCAGTTCTGATCCTAAAGTGACACTTGTTGTTTTTGTTGTCAAGTGCTGTCGAGTCAATTCCAACCCATAGAAACCCTGCATAGGGTTTTCAAGGAGCAGCTGATGAGCTTGAACTGCCGACCTTGCAGTTCAAATGGCTTTGCAGTCTGGCCCACAGTGCCACATCAGTGTTTCATTAAACAGTATGGAATTGAGTGGCGTGGAGTTGGGGAAAGCATTCCCCCTCTGTGGCAGGACAGTACTACAACACCAAACCTGCCAGAGCGCCACACCAGGAAATTTCTTTTAGGATAATAGAAATTCTATGAATGAGAAAGCCTGCTCTAATGGTCTCTATTCTTCAACACTTTCTCCACACCCTCGAACTCCCTTCGACTCACCAATGCTTTAAATTCTTCTAACTAGTAGAATAGAGTGTTGGACTGAAAGGTCAGTTTGAACCACAAGATCTGCAGTTCAAGCTCACCAGTCGCTCCTCAGAAACCCTATACAGGGTCACTATGAGTCAGAACCAACTAGATGGCACTTAAGAACTAGAAGAGTAGACCTTAATTTTACAATGAGAAAATGGGTTAACACAAAAATAATTAAAACAATATTACTAAAGCTCAATTTAGACTCACACTGTGGGGTAGAAGACTGATAACCAGATCTTTCTTAGTAGTGGGCTTTAGTGATGAGGCAGTCAGTAGATAATGAATGTCACCAAAGCGGAAAACAGGAAAGAGGCACCAAGAAGGGGAGAAGAATTTTTAAAAGGTAAAAAAAAAAAAGAGGCTAGAATTCAAATTACTTTATAAATTAACCTGGAACTGACTCTGTGGCCTATCACTCCTCTTATTAAGAAAATAAATAAATAAACTGTAAGAGGATCAAATCTACTGTTATTTGAATACCTCTTGGCATAGTGTGGTCATATTTCCCTTCACATGAAAGCCCTTCATCTTTCTGAAGAGTGTCCGAAGTCATGCTAAACTTGCTTATTAAATGCACCCCCACTTTGTATTTAAACAGGACCTTCAAGCAACCCTATTAAACCCACTGGACCAAGCACCCCCACAGCGTGTGATCCTAGATTGACATTTGATGCTATCGTCACACTCCGAGGAGAAATATTTTTCTTTAAAGACAAGTATAAGACTGAATTTTTCCTTCCTTTGGTTTTTCTTACTGGATTCTAATAAGTCATACAGTTCCCAACTTTTTCCTAGGATTCTATACATATTCATATCATTGGAACTTTCAGTTGTTTTCTGGATAACAACATATCCAGGTGGGGGAGGAAGAAAACGAAAATATTATAAACAGAACAGGCTGTATTAGCTTCAGAGCCTCAGAGCTGGGTTTATCTGACGTGAAACCATTATTCAATTCTATCCAAAATCAGTTAAGTAAATGGAAATTATGATTTAACTAGCTGACAGGCAAAAAAACAGACTGGATTCGTCACTTTTCCATTGGCTATTTTGTCATTGTGTAATCAGAGACTGGTCTGTTGGTCACAGTGAAGCACTTAACTATTAATCAAAAGGCTGGTTTGAACCCATTCAGAGGTTCCTTGAACGAAAGTTCTGGCCATCGGCTTCCAAAAGGTCAAGGTTTGAAATTCCTATGAAGCACAGATGTAGGCCATAGCACATGAAGTTGCAAAGAGTTTGAATCAACTTCAGGGCACCTAGTTTGTTTGTTAATTTTGTAATCAGAAATGGAATGTGTTGCTATTGCGTACTGTTAATTGCTAAGGAGCTCTGTTAACTCAGTGGGATACACACTGGACTGATAACTAGGTCAGAAATTGAAACCCACAGGGTGCTCTGTGGGAGAATGAAGAAGCTGATTGCCCCTGTAAAGGTTTACAGTTTCCTGAACCCAAAGGAGCGGTTCTATGCTGTCCTATAGAGTCACTATGAGTTAAATAGACTCCATGGCAGGGGTGGGTACTGTTGATGTGATGACTGTATTTCTATTTTCTATCATTTTCTGGGAACAATAATGGATTTGTCATTGTGTGAGGAACAAAGTGTAATCAAATGAGGCTGTTCCTATGCACCTGTCTGAAAACTGTAAACTGCTCAGCAGATAGATAATATCACCATAAGCCCTGGCCATGTGCTGGCTTCTGTGCTAGGAACTTTGTATCCAGTATCATGTACTATTCTCCCGGAAATCTTATGAAGCTCAAGACGCACAGAAACTGCCCATCTCAACCATGGTGGTGAAGGTTTGGGTGTGTGAGTTTTTTTCCCTTTGTGTTTCTTTAGGTATTTCTGGAGAAGCCACCCTCAGCTAGAAAGAGTCGAATTAAACTTTCTTTCTCTATTCTGGCCATCCCTGCCAAATGGAATACAGGCTGCCTATGAGGATTTTGATAGAGACCTAGTTTTCTTATTTAAAGGTAATTGCCTGAGATTTTCAAATTACTTTTAGTTCTGCCTAATGGAAAGGGGCTCTGGTAGTGTTGTGGTTACGAATCGGGCTGCTAACCTCAAGGCCGGAAGTTAGAAGCTACCAGCTGTTCCGCGGGAGAAAGATGAGGCTTTCTGCTCCTGTAAAGATTTACAGCGTCGGAAACCCTGTACAGGGTCGCTATGAGTCTGAACCAACTCCACGGCACATAACAACAACAACAATGGAAGGGGGCAGGACTTTGTGGTCCTGCCTTAGTTATCTAGTGCTGCTATAATGCAAATACCATAAGTGGGCATGGTTTTAAAACACAGAAATGTATTTTCTCAAAATTCAGCAGGCTGCATGCCCCAATTCAGGGCGTGGGTCTAGAGGGAGGTCCTTCTTTGTGGACTTCAGCTTCTAGTAGCTGCCAGCAATCCTTAGAGAATCTTATATCCTATTATGTGTCTTTTTCTCCTGTGTGTGTTTTTGTATCCATTATGCTCTTTTTATAACTCAGAAGTGATTAGGTTTAGGACCCACACTACTCTGGTGTAGCCTAATTAACATAACAAAGGAAACTAGTTCCAAACAGAATTATTTTTATAGATACATTGTTATTGTGTGACATGGAGTTGGTTCCAACTCATAGCAACCCTGTATAGTGTTTCTGAGAGTAGCTGGTGAGCTTGAACTGCCAACCTTGTGCTTAGCAGTCCAATGCATATCCTACAGCACCACATCAGGGCTCATTTATAGCTGTGTTGTTGTTATTATGTGCAGTGGAGTCAGTTCTGACTCATCGCAACCTTGTGTACAGTTTCCAAGGAGCAGCTGGAGAGTTTGAACCACCAACCTTGTAGTTAGCAGTCCAGTGCCACACCAGGACTCCAATTTCATAGGTTTAGGGGTTTATGAAATCCTAGGATTTCTTCATGTATTTTGGGGGGAGGCACATTTCAATCTACAGTGAGTTTCTAGATTCAAAAGAGGTATGCCAATGAAAACGCATTTTGCTGTTCAGGTTTCGTCAGGAGACTTGGGTTATATCCTATCTCTCCCACTAATAACTCTGTGACCTTGAGCAAATTGTACCCTCTTCAAATCTCAGTTTTCTCATCTACAGAAGACCATATTAGATCATCTTTAGTGTTTCTTCACCTCTACTTATCTGTCATATTTTAAGATTCCTGTAATTTGATCTCTGTATAGAAGTCATGTGTGACAAAACAACAAATTATGGTGTCCTCAAATATCAAACTAAGAAGTTTGAATTTTTAAAAAGATGCTGGGGAACTGCTAAAACACAAAACCCCCACTGCCATTGACTCATGTTGTTGTTGTTAAGTGCTATAGAGTCGGTTCTGACTCATAACAAAACTGTATAGGATTTTTGAGGGGTGGCTGGTAGATTTGAACCACCAACCTTGCATTTAGCAGTCCCGGGCTTATACTACAGTACCTCATAGAGGCCCTAGAGAATTTCTGAGACTGTCAATCTTTATGGGAGCAGACAGCCTCATCTCTCTCCTATGGAGTAGACTGGTAGATTTAAATCATCAACCTTTCAGTTAGCAACCCAACACCTAACCCAAAGACCATCAGGGCATCTCGGGGAATGGCTAAGTATATCATAATCCCATGGATTTAACTTTACCATCTTTATCTTTTCAAGATTCTTTGTTCTATGATGCATTTTTATTTCTCTGCTGTATTTATACAAAAAGCGGTGTACATTATTTTATAAAAATGGGCGAACTTTATCTAACATATAACATGACTCGTTGGCAGGCAACCAATACTGGGCTCTGAATGGGTATGACATTCAGCCAGGTTATCCCAAGAGTATATCAAACTACGGTTTACCCCGCAGTGTCCACGCCATCGATGCAGCTGTGTCCTATAGAGGAAAAACATACCTCTTTGTCAACAATCAATTCTGGAGGTAAGATAACATGTATGGTTGTGTTTTTAATTAAACATTGAAATCTGACTTTCTGTCTACACACCACCTAAGATGTTTTAAAAATTCAGGAATACAAAGATTTTAAAAATCTAGGTGGTATTTGATAGGATTTAGCTAAAATGTATATATTTTTTTTGTAGTGCAATTGTTAGTGCTTTGACTTTTAAAATTTTTAATCTTATGAACTAAAATGACTGCTTGATGGTACTGAGAATTCTTATCATGGAACATAGAAATCTTAATAAAACATTAAGGTGGGAGGCAAAGAAAGAATTAGGCTAAGTCTCTATATGAATTAAATTCGGGCACACAAATATTATGCAAATAATGTACAGAATTTAGTGCTCAAGTTAGATTTATTTATATTTATTCACATATATGTATGCATATGCACACATACTCAGTTGTACCAATTCAATACAACCCTTAGTAGATATAAGTTTTTTGTTCAGTTTTGGAAAAAGAAAACAAAACAAAAAAACCACATTTCACAACAATTAGAAGCTTGTTTCAGTATGAATGGTACTCATACCATTTATAAAGGAGTCCAGTGTGGCATTGTAGGATAAGCACTAGATTGTTAACCACAAAGTCGGTGGTTCAAACCCACCAGTTGCTTTTTGAAAACCCTGTAAAAGGTCGCTATGAGTCATAACTGACTTGGTGGCACTTAACAACAGCAATCTTTTATAAATGGATATGTATTGTATAGAAATTAACCATTAAGTAGAGAAGTTAACCATTCTTAATCCCAATAAATAGGACATTGTGAGGACTGACTGAAAAAAAAGTATGTGAAGGCATGTTGTAAATTCTGTTCAATTTAAAGAAAACTGCATTATGTATCATATTTTAAAATATGCAACATATTTTCCTCAGATATGACAACAAAAAACAATCCATGGAACCAGGTTATCCCCAAAGCATAGCAAATGCCTTTCAAGGAATATACAGTAGAATTGATGCAGTTTTCCATCAGGGATGTAAGTAAAAAAAAAAAATATATATATATATATATATATATATATATATATATATAATAACTGTTTACATTTTAATTTTTTTAAGTAAATGCTTGCAGTGGAATGTTATATCAAAAGAGGTGTGGGTTCATAACTGAAAATGTCTGAAAGTTTACTTCTACAAACTAATCTAACAAATTCTCTCTCTTTTTTTTTTTTTTTATAGACTTCTTCTTTTTCTTCACTGGGCCAGAATATCATGCATTTGACCTTAATGCCCGTAGAGTTACTAGGGTTGGAAGAAGCAATGAATGGCTTAACTGTTGATAAAGTTTAAGCAAACTCAAATTTGTTTGGATTCATTTTCTGAGTGTTAAAGTAGGCAAATTAATATGCATACTCATTACATCATTTCCTGTTTATATTTTTCTCAACAATAAACAGCAAAGCGGTTGACATTCATTGTATTCATTTGACTTGCCCTCAACAAAAGTATGGAATAGTCCACTATTTACAGAGGCTGATTCAAGTCCTATGCATTCTGCCTCGGGTTAGTAAGTCTATCAGAATAGATCCACAGGAAAATAAGCCCTCTTTTTCATCTCAATATTCACTATTTCATTACTTGCTTAATCTGATTTTTAAAATGTTCATATGTTACTAAGTTTCTTTGAGCAAGTGTTAAAAGTGTCTGCTAAATACAACTGAGCACCAGATTTTAATTAGAAATAAGGATTGCAAGCACCATCGATGGTAACTGACTTTATAGAAAATGGGGTGCTGTTTTTCCATTCTTTGAGAGAACTATGGTTGTCACTTGTGGACTTAAGGAGCCTGACAGCACAGTGGTTAAGTAGTCGCCAATTAAATAAAAGGCTGGAAGCTCAAGCCATTCCACTAGCACCGTGAGAGAGACCAGGTGATATACTTCTGTCAAGATTAAAATAAAAAAACCCATTGTCATCAAATTGTATCCAATTTATAGAAAACTTGTTAACTCCCATCAAATCAATTCCAACCCATAGTGATCCTGTATAGGGTTTCTGAGGAGCAACTGGTGAGTTTGAACCACCAACCTTGAGGTTCAATCTGACTTTGTGGTCCAGTGCTTATCCTACAGTGCCATACCAGGACTCCAGCACAGAGTAAAACTGCCACCAAAGGGTTTCCAAGACCGTGGAGTCCTGGTGTGGCACTATAGGATAAGCAACAGACCATAAGGCCAGTTTGAACTCACCAACTATCCCTTGAAAATCCTATACAGTGTTACCATGTGTCAGAACGACTTGACGGAACTTAGTGATCTTTATGGAAGAAGACACATCTTTCTCCCTCAAAGAGATGGTGGGTTCAAACCATGAACCATTTGGTTAACCACGCACTGTATCAAATTAATTCTGCCTCATAGTGTAAGGACCAAACTGATTTTACCTGATTTTGCCTACCTAGAGGCTGCTTGACTAAACTCTAGTCAGGCTCAGGAAAGCATTTTAAATAGACAAGGCCTCAGTTTTTAGTTCCCTCCAGAGACAAGGTCAATCTCCATTCTGTACATTAGCCTGAACACGTCCTCTAGCTCCAACAAAATGATATATGTATAAATAGCCAGGCAGCTCAAGGCCAGGGGCCAGATGTTTTCCTTTACCCTAGCCTAAGAACAAAGACCACCAGTCCTGACCAATTAAACTGTAACATCTTATAGTTTGCCAATTGTTAACCAATCCAAAGATTGTAAAGCTGAGAAACCTGAGCTTTATAGAGTTTGAAAACTCTATAAAAACCCTGCAGACAATGAATTCGGGGCTCTTTCCCTATTCCGAAGTGTCGGATAAGGTTAGAGACCTGGCTCAAGCTTGAATAAACAACCCTTATGTATTTGCATCCGGTACACGGCTCCTGGGTGGTCTTTGGGGACCCCCGAATTCTGGGCATAACAATAGCCACTCTATAGCTCAGAATAGTATGGCTACTTCAGGGATTCTGCAAACATAAATCTTTACAGGAGCAAAAAGCTTCATCTGTTACTGGATTTGAGCTCCTGACCTTACAGTTAGTCCAATGCAAAGCCTATAGCCCAATGCTTAACCACTAAATCACCAGGGTTCCTTTTACATAAGGATTGTTGTTGTTGTTAAGTATGAGCAAGTCTGTTCAGACTCATAGCAACACTGTATAGGGTTTCTGAGGAGCAGCTGGTGGGTTTGAACCACCAGCATTGTGGTTAACAGTCCAGTGCTTATCCTACAGCACCACACCAGGACTCCTCTGTAGAGATTAGCCTTGGAAACTCAATAGGGTAGTTGTATTATGTCAGAATAAACTCAATGGTGCATACAACAACTTTGATTTGTAAAATGAATAAACACAAAATGACGAAGTTGAACCTCCATGAAGGATAAAATGGCATCTCTTGAGGAAAATTCCTTCTTCCTGTCTCTCCTTCTAGAGTCCAAGTGTATGGCTAGTTGGCCCTGTTATCCCTTATTTCCTAGGGTGTTCCGGGGGCACACTTTACAAGTAGCAGGGATTTACTGCACACCTGAGCAATCATGGGCACAAAATTCAATAAATCTTACTAAATTGAATTAAACAGCTTAGAGGCATGCATTTGTTAATTATAAAAACTTTAGCTATATAATCAAAATGTCTAGTCCAGACATCAAATGTCATATTTGCAGGTAAGATATAATGTAATTTATTACACAAAAATATGTGGCTTGTAAATTATGTTTATCCTAGTACATTCTGTTTTCTGTATCCAATTAAGTCTTTAAATTCTACAGGTAAATAATTTAGTATAATATTCTACTGATTCTGATTCAAAATCATCTATTAAATGAGTTTGAAATAAAGATTTTACTTTCAAATTACTGACTTGTGATCTACTTATAATTTTGTTTTGAAGTATCACCACATACTTTATCTAAAGTATAAACAAGAATTAGCAAATTTCAGATATGCTCAACTATTTAGTCCCTTTTCAGAATTATCATAATATTGATAATAAAATTTTGGATACTGTTTAAATGTTTATTAAATATTTTATATCTCCAGAAAATTCCCTTGGAGATGTTGGGACATTATTTTCAGTTTACTTTATAAGATTGGTAAACAGAAATTAGTATACTATGATTTCTTTTTGTAACAGTTTTTTTTATTGTGAATTGGGTGAAGGTTTACAGAAAAGATCATCAGTTTTACTTTCATATACTTTACAAATCATATACTTTGTTTCATCTCAATAATTTCAATCCTCTCCATGCAACAACAGTTGTCCTGCTTCCTGTCTGCAGTTGCATGTGTACAAATACCCTATTTCAAACTCTTACATATTTGTGGGATTTATAACTATGAGGGTGAGTCAAAAATTATCCACACTCTGGATGTAGAATTTATTTTAATCAACTTTTAGAAAAGACAAATACATAAATTTTCAACATAATCTTCTTGCTTTTTAATACACTTTGTCCATCTGCCAGCAAGCTTTAATATTACCTTATTTTAAAATGGTTTAGGATGAGCTGTGAGCTACAAATTCACCACTGGCTTCACTTCTTCATCAGAGGTGACTCTCTGTCTTCAAAGGACTACTTTAAGGGACCAAACAGATGAAAATTCAGTAGAGCAAGATCAGGATTATAGAGAGAATATTTTAAAACCTCAAAATGAAGTTTTTGCAGTGTCAACAGTGTGGGCTGAGTGTGTGGATGTGCATTGTCATGCAAGATCACCTTGCCCTTGGATAGCAGTTCTCTGCATTTATCAGAAGTTTAGGCTTTAGCTCTTCAGTGAGCATCTCACTGTAATGAGCACTGGTGAGTGTTGAAACTTTTTACTGATAGTGCTCTAATATGGGCCCTTGAGAATCCCAGAAGATTGTAAACATCAATTTTTCAGCTGATGGTTGAATTTTGAACCTTCTCTTGGTTGACCTTGAGGATGTTTCCACTGTATACTTTACTGTTTACTCTCAGAGTCATACATAGTGATGAATCCATGTCTTGTTACCAGTAACAATTTTTTTTTTTAAAGAAACTTTTACCTTCCTTAGAGTTATCAGACCAAATTTTGTTTGCAGATGTCCAAACACTTCTGGTTTTGCTCTTCCGTGAGTTGTTTTGCTACCCATCTTGCACAAACTTTTTGAAACCCAGGTTTGTCACGGATTATTTCACCGAGCCATGGCTGACTTGAAAATAATTTGACATGTAATACACTGCCACTCATCTGTTTGACAGAATCATTTAATGTGCAACTCAATGTTACCATCAGGATGTTTTAATATAACTGGAGTATGGCTAATTTTTGACTCACTCTCATATATAAAAATACATATACGTTTATATGTTGTGCTGTTAAGTGCCATCAAGTTGGTTCTGTAAAAACTAAGAGAGAGAGAGAGAGAGAGAGAGACAGAGACAGAGACAGAGACAGAGAGAGAGATCTAGATATATGTTGCTGTTATGTGCCATGGAGTCGGTTCCAACTCATAGAGACCTTGCATAGGATTTCCACGGGAGAAAGATGAGCCTCAGAAACCCTGTGCAGGGTGACTATGAATTGGAACCGACTCCACGGTACTTAACAACAACTATATATAGATATAGACATAGATATAGATATAGATATTATTAGATATAGATATCCCACTCCTCCTCCCATACTCATTCAGCTTGTGTGTCTATCTATCTACACACAGAGCACTGTGGTTCCAATTTTGTGTATCTATCGCACCTGTATTCCATTTGGCCCTTGCATACCTCCCTTAGTACACTATCATTTCACTCAGTAATTCATTTATTAAACAATAATTAATCATTTAAATGTTTTAGGTACTGCACTATGAGAAAGGTCTATAAACAATTAATTGTACCAATTTAACACAACTAACTCAGAACCAAATCCACTGCCATGGAGTCAATTCTGACTCATAGTGACCCTATAGTTCAAATAGGATTACTCCATAGGGTTTCCTAGGCTGTAAACCTTCATGGGAGCAGACAGTATCATCTCTCTCCCATGGAGCAACTGGTAAGTTTGAACCCTGACCTTGCAGTTAGCAGCCTGACCCAGAGCACACCAGGACTCCATTAACAAAAGTAAAATGATCTGTAAAAACTAAGCGCTGCATTTTGAAGAGAAGAATCCATTTAAGACTATTGTTTTTTCTGAAAACTTAGTTTTTTACAATAGCAAAAATGTGAGATTTATCTTCTTGGATACTCTGCTAGCTGGGCTAGCTAGTTATTATAGATGATTTTTTATGTACTTTTTATTGTGAATAGAGTAAAGGTTTACAGACAAGATCATCAGTTTTACTTTCAACA